GGCCGCGCCCCGAGTTCCCCAGCCAGCCCCGCCCCGCCGGGATTGCGGGCCCTGCGGAAGTGCGGGCCGCGCCCTGGATGCTGTCGCCTGCGGCCACGCGCGGCGGCGTCGGGCAGGGCGGTGTCGGGGAACCGCGGCCTGGCCAGGAGGACCCGCCCGGAGCCTCGGTAGTCCGCGGGAGGAGCCCCGGTCGATTGGGCGGGCCTCTCGGGGGAAAACGTGGTGGGCCTGGGGCTGCGCTTTAATCCCTGCGCACGGCCGGCAGGGATCCGGGTGGGTTTCTGAGGGGCCCGGGAGGGGCTCCCGTCCCCCTGGGTTCGGCGCCTCTACAGACCCTTTAGGTTCAGGGCCCAGAAAGAATCCTGAGATTTGCAAGCCCTGCATGCACCACCTCCAAGTTGGAACCACGGATCCTCACGAGTGAGGAACACACTTGCCATATTTAGGATCCAGGAGCTCGACACATCGTTAAGCTTACGATGGCACTCCAGTGTCAGAAGGGAACAGACCCTGGTGCTGCACGCGCCTAAGAGGCAGAGCATCCTATCGATACTCCCTTAGGGACCTCCCGGCCAGGATCCAGTGGGAGTGCCTTAGGGCTAGGGCCTGCGCTGCTAGGGCCGGCAGTAGCACCCAAGGGATTTAGCTTTGCATCAGCCATTGGGTCTGGAGGTCTTGATGGGAAGGATTGGTGTTTTGCTTTTTGGAGGAACGGGTTGTGCCATCTCCCCATTTTGTTTACTACAAACAAACCTTGAGAGGGTGTGGCCCTCTCAAGTGGACCTCTCTGACTTGCCACCTGTCCTGCTCAGAAACTGGGTCCCTCTTGGCCACCTCCGTTACTGCCTGCAGGTGACAGGGTCCTTCCGGGGTGGGCTGCCTCCAGTCTGTGACGGCCCTGCCCCTGCCCCACCCACAGGTGTTACAGGCTAAAGGTGAGCATGGCAGAGCAGGAGCCCACAGCCGAGCAGCTGGCCCAGATAGCAGCCGAGAATGAGGAGGATGAGCACTCAGTCAACTACAAGCCCCCTGCCCAGAAGAGCATCCAGGAGATCCAGGAGCTGGACAAGGATGATGAGAGCTTGCGCAAGTACAAGGAGGCCCTTCTGGGCCGAGTGGCTGTGTCCACTGGTGAGTGGGCCGTAGGAGGTTGGAGGCCCCAATCTGTCACCCTACCTTGTCACCATGCCTCTTCCAGCCCACTGCTCTCCAGGGAGGGACTTGCAGAGGCCTAAGGGGTGAGGCTCTAATTTACTGTCACCATTCTTCAGACCCCAACGTCCCCAATGTCATCGTGACCCGCCTGACCTTGGTGTGCAGCACCTCCCCGGGCCCTCTGGAACTGGACCTGACAGGTGAGTGGGTGTTGGAGGCCCTGGGTGGGGCCAGCTGGCATCCTGCCGCTGCCCCTAAAAATAATTTTCCGCACTAGTGCCCTCTGGTGGATCAGAGGGGAAATGCGGCCAGGTGCTCTCAGGCTCTGCTTTGTGTCAGGGAAGAGCTGAGAAAACGGGGTGGGGTGGCGAACCTCTAAGCAACCAACTGGACCTCCTCCCTAAAACAGGTGATCTGGAGAGCTTCAAGAAACAGTCCTTCGTGCTGAAAGAGGGTGTGGAGTACCGGATAAAAATCTCTTTCCGGGTAAGGTGGAGACTAAAGGAGGCCTGGGAAGAGGGGGAGCAGGACTGAGGAGCAGGCTGATACTTGCTTTGGGTCCCACAGGTGAACAGAGAGATTGTGTCAGGCATGAAGTACATCCAGCACACATACAGGAAAGGTGTCAAGAGTGAGTAGAAGGGCCAGTGAAGTGGGAACAGATGGGCTTTGGGAGGGGCCTACATCACTGGTGACAATGCCCTTCCTGTCCCACAGTTGACAAGACTGACTACATGGTCGGGAGCTATGGGCCCCGGGCAGAAGAGTATGAGTTCCTGACACCCATGGAGGAGGCCCCCAAAGGCATGCTGGCTCGGGGCAGCTATAACATCAAGTCCCGCTTCACAGATGATGACAAGACTGACCACCTGTCCTGGGAGTGGAATCTCACCATCAAAAAGGAATGGAAGGACTAAGTCCCAGCTGGGAGGCGGGCAGGGCGACGGACAGACAGAAGGACCGACATGCCCCACCCCACCCCCCTCCCTACCCCAAACCAAAGTGCTGACAGGACCCTTCCCCTGCTATTTCTCCCCGGTCCACTGGGGCAGGTAGAAGAGCTGCCTGCCTTTCCTCCACCCTCCTGCCCGCAGGCCCCTGTGGTCTCTAGTGTCACATTGCTGCTTCTGCCTGTGCAGTGGGGGAGGGATTCCAACCCAGGCCTCCACCCTGCTCTTTGTCCGTCCAGGTTCCCTCTGTTTTCCCTTCCTCAGGCCTTGGCTGGGCCCTGGCTTCTAGAAGGGAACACTGTCTGGGTCGCCCAGCCCACTTTGTCCCTGCCCCAGCTGAGCTAGGTTGCACAGCCTGGGGCCAAGGCTGGGCTATCCTCTAGCCCCACCACTCCCTGGCCAGGTCATCCATCACTTTGTCAGTCACTGTCTAACCATGATGCCTTAACATGTGGAACATGTACTGGGGGCCGTCGCTAACTCTTAACTCCTCTGTCTGCATGAGCATGTGGTCTCCCCTGTCCTTGCCTTGTCTGCCATCCCCATCCTGGTGACCCACCCAGGGAGGCCTGGGGTGTGCTGCTGTTGCTCCCTTTAGGCCTGGCCAGCTCCTCCCCTTCCATGGCCAGGGCTAAGGTGTCTCCAGTAGCTAGGGGAAGGTCAAATTGCCAAAACTCAAAAAAGCCTCCAGCCCCATCTAGGAGGCAGGATAAGGGGCTTCATTCCTCTGCCTTCTCTGTCCTTACAGGCAGCACTCAGAGCCCTTGTCCCCACAGAGAGCCCGAGACAAAGCCAGTGGCCGAGCCTTACTTGTCTCACCTGGGCCCTGTGGCCTGCAACCTCGTGCCTGGCCTGTCAGTATTTATTGCCTCCATTTGGGCCAGCTGGCCTGACGCCTCTGCCCTGGCTCTCGGTGCCACCATCCCTGGGCAGGCCCTCCCTGGACCCAGCCAGGACAAATGTGGGACCAAGTGTACACAGTTGGGAGCTATCTCCTGTGCCTCCCCTCCCCATCCCCGGTCCCCGTGTGGTGTCTGCTAGGCCCAGGCTTCTGACAGGTGGAGGAGCCTGTCCCTGCTTCTCTTCTGACTGGGAAATAAACATCCCTAAAGGACTCTGGGAGTCTCTGCTGCTTGTGTTGGGGGTTTGGGATGGATGACAAGACCCCAGTGGAGAAGGGAAGCTCCTCAGGTCACATTCTGGCAGGGGTGGGGTTTGCTGCCAGCAGCTCCTCTGCTTTGCCAGCTGCCTCCCTATAAATCTTGAGAAATTGTAAAGCTGTTGCCACAGATCCATAATCATAGTGGTATACACCTTTAGTTCCAGCTGAGGTGGGCAGATCTCGGAAATACTATCTATTGGACTGGAGAGATGCTCTGGTTAAGGGCACTGGCAGTTCTTGCAGAGGACCTGGGTTTGGGTCCCAGCACCCTTCTGTAGGCTAATAATCGTCCCTAATTTCAGTTCCAGGAGATTTCATAACCCTGTTCTGGCCCCCACTAGCATTGGATACATGCATGTCCTTAAATACATACAGGTAGAACACATTAAACATGTAAAACCTTACAGGAAGTTGGAATGGTGGGAGTTCTGGGTCATGGCATTGCCTTTGAACTACAGCCCTAGGGACTTGGACATGCAGAGTAATTAGGTGTTGGTCAACATCCAAACTGCTCTACTGTGGGGTTGCTCTCCAGTAGAACCCTGCATGCCACCCATATATGGGCTCATTTTGGAATCTCAGGAAATTTCTGACTCAGGTGGAAGATCAGGAGCCTTGAGAGGTTGGTACCAACTCCCATGTGTAAGCCTGGTAAGAGGTGAAGAGGTGTTCTGTGTTTGCGTTGGCAGGGTGGCTGGAACAGGGATTATGTGCCAGGGAGACAACAGCCTTCATCTCTGCTACAGTGCTAAGGTGACCCAGGCACAGGGCTAAGTAGGATAGTCAGGGAGAGATAGAGGACCATCACACCACATGGAAGCTTGTATCAACTGGGAAGGGCCACCAGGCCTCACTGACCAGCCCAGCTTCAGATTCTGCCTAGCAGTCTGTGTCTGCAGTGACCACACGGGGGCAGCCTTACCTGCCTGTCTGAGCACACCCCAGAGGCATCCTGTAACTTCAAATTCCCATCCAGTCAGCAATCATTTAAAAAAAAAATGTGTGTGTACTGCCTGCATGTATATAAGTGCACCCATGAGGTGCAGTGCCCGAGGAGGACAGAAGAGGCTGTCGGATCCCCTGGAACTGTTACAATTGTTAGCTGTCATATGGGTGCTGGGATTCAAACCTGGGTCTTCTGCAAGAACAGCCAGTGTTCTTTGCTGAACCGCTGAGCCATCCCTCCTGCCCTGAACATTCCCGCTTTCAATATAATATATGTGGCGGGGCGGGCACTCTGGGTTGCCTGAAGAGGCCAAACGTTAAATCCTCTGGGAATGGCAGGTGGGTGTGAGCTGGTACTGGAAGAGTAGACCAAACTTACAACTGAGCCATCTCACCATTCCAGTAACATCCCCTTTTAGCCAGATGACAGCTTTGAAGTCTGCCCTCTATGGTTGGGCTACTCAGTAAGGTGGTTCCACATTCCACTAAGGCAACTAACTGGGAGTGGTCACTGCTGCCCTAGGGCCCTCCCAGTCTGGGCCCACCACCAGCCTGGTGCTGAGCAGTAGGGTGAGCCTTTCTTGGAGTTTGTTGCCAGCTAATCAGGTGATGCCTTGTTGCTTTGTCACAGACACCCATGTAGGGCAGCTCCCTCAGGCCAGTGGCCACCTCAGCCATCTTTACCAGCCCCATGGGAGCCAGAGAAGCAGATCCCAGAGCTGACCCTCTGCAGGACATAACCTGACTGTAGTAGCCCCCTGTAGTAAGCAGCCCAATTGTTGACCCAAACCTCTCCCAGAACTATTCCTGGCCTCAACAGTCAGGCAGGCTCAGGCAGGGACAGGGTGAAGTGAGGCCCTTCCCCAAGGCTTTTCTGCCCGGCTACACAGGCAACTCTTTGCTTATCCTTAAAAGTTGCTCTGCTGTCAGCAATTCTGTTTATCGAGGGCTGCTGAGGCTCACGTTGGACCAAGAAGCATAATCATTGTACTCTGGGATTATCCTAGCCTGGTAGGTATGTGGAACTCAGACCCTAAGTGCCAAGTGTGCAAGCACACTGCCAACAGCCAGGACTTTGCTCCCGCTCCTCCCAGTGCAGGCTAACATGGGTGGCCTCATAAGTTGCATGGCATGTTTTTCAGGTCCCAAGTCTAACCCGATCCTCCTTGTCTCACCCCAATCTATTTGTATGGTCTGGTGTTCCAAGGCCTGGCCACTCTGCTCCCAGGAGCCAGGCCCAGGATCCTCCCCACCTACCTACCTCTGTTCATGGCGTCCAGGAATCCCCAAGCTTCCTCCTCAGTCACCTTCAGACAGGCTTCCTTTAGAGGGCGACAGGTCATTGCTAGTACCAGTTAACCAGTGGTCACCTTTCATAATGTAGCTAAATAATCATCGGGAATTATGGTTTACAAAAGCCTTTCCATGCCCAGCACCATCCTGCACCAGTCAGCGCCTACTTCCTCCACAGGGCTCACACTCCATGCCCTGCTTCCTTCCTTGTTCTCACTGCACTGCCCGCTCACCCTCTAGGCAACGGCATGGAACCTGCTTTTCACCCCCTGGACACCTCACAGTCCTACAAGCTAAAAGGGAACTGTTTGGTTCTGAGAACTCAGAATCAAAACAACCAGTTACTCAACAGCTCAACGGGTAACGGGCACCTTCTCTGGGCATGACACACCCTTAAGGGTGTCTTGATGCATTTCCAATGGTCCAGGGAAATTTGTCACAGCCATATGGGCCTTTCAGGACTGGGACCCTCAGGTTATCCAAACCACCACCCTTTTCTGCAGCTGCTCTTGGAAGGCATAGGACAGGCCCTTGGGAAGCAAGGAAGCCAACAGCTTTACCCTCAAGGCTGAGGCCCACAGATATTCAGATGATCCAGCCTGCACTCTAGGTTTGTTGAATGCCTTAGCAGATACTCAACAAACCTAGAGGGCCCAGGAATCTCGGTGCCCCCTCCCTCTCCAGGTCTGTGATCATCCAGGACAGAATGCTCCCTGGGCACCTCATTTTTCACAGAATGTCAGCAGCTCTATCCTGTTACTCCTGCCTTGAGGTGCCCTAGCTGCCCTCTGCAAACCACACTGGCAGTTAGAACCAAGCTGAGACTCAACCTCATCTGCTGTGATCTACCTGGTGTGCATCTGGAATGGTTTTTCTCTGCTTGATCCTGATGTCTTCAACTGTGAGCATTTTTCTTTTGTGCTTTGCTCTATGTTCTGAGGTTAAGCCTTTTTAAACCACCATATGCAAATCCTACCCCTAATATTTAGCTACCTGAACTCTGAAACATTTTCTAAGGTATACTGTAGCCCAGGCTGGCCTTCAGCTCCTGGTACTTGCCAGGTGTGGTGAAATATGCCTGTAATCCTAGTGATTTAAGAGCGACAAAAGCAGTTTGAGGCCAGCCTGGTCTACAAGGCGAGTTTCAAGCCAATAAACACTACAGAGAGATTGTCTCAAAAACAAAACAAAACAAAAAAACAAAACAAAACTGATCCTTCAGCTTCCTCCTTTGAGGTACTGGGAGTATACAGGAGCCTGACTGCACCAGCCAACTTTTTTTCTTATCTTTTATTATTATTACTAATTATTATTATTTTGGTCTTTTTGAAACAGGGTCTCCCTGTAGCCCCAGCTGGCCTGGAACTCACAGAGAGCCATCTGTCTCTGCCTCCCAAGGGCTGGGACTACAGGCGTGCGTCACCACACTTGGCTTAATTTATTATTTTTATTTTATGTGTATGAGTGTATTGCCTGCAGACCTGTAAGTGCACCTGTGTTGTGCTGAGCAGTGCCCTCGGAAGTCAGATCCCCATGAACTGGAGTTACAGTTGTTAGCCACTATGTGGGTGCTGGGAACTGAGCCCACATCCTCTGCAAGAGCAGCCAGTGCTCTTAACTGCTGAGCCATCTCT